ATCTCTTCAACTTGTACGTCGCTCTTTCGAGAAGCTCGGGACGGGAGACGGTTCGACTGCTGAGGGACTTCGACGACAACACGTTCATGGCCCCACATAGCGCCGAACTGTTAGCGGAGGATGATAGGTTGGGTATGCTGGATAGGTCTACGAGTGCGTGGTGGAATGAAATCCAGCGGCAGCGTCCCGGGGCGGGCTTATAATGATTCATAGCATCAAGGTTAGTCATTGCGGGTTTCAAACATTACCGTATTCTTTGTTGATACAACAGCTGTGTGGTTTGTACAGGAGAGCCGTTCGTGTTCGCGAACTCAGACAAAGAACGATCATTACTGAGTTCTCAGCCCTCAGCGCTGAGCGCTGGAGGTTGGAGCCCGACAAGAGGCTGCCCGAGCGGGAAGGCGAGGGGCGAGATGGGCGCTTCGCGCGCAAGTGAAGCGCCGGGCGATCGGGCGCTCCTTTCTGTCACCATAACTGTCACACTGAATTATATACCGCGTCTCGTAACTCCGAGGCTTCTCAAAACTCATTATGTGCAACTGGAACCCTTTGCTTCGACCAGAGAAATAGGTTAGAAATCGATGTTGTCTTGCGATAAAGTAGCAATAGCTCAGTCACAAGATCACGTATGTCACGATCTGTCACTATCACTCAGAGATCATTCTCGTATAATCGCGGATTATTGTTGCGGTAGCGGTATCGTCGTCATATGTTCTCGTCTACTTGAGAGTATATGTGAGGAACCTTGACGATGTGTCTAGAACCTGATTATGACATTCTCCGAGACAAGAAAGAGACTAAGAGGGCGATGTTGTGAAACCAGTATTCGGGTACTTACGGAGGGGGCAATCGGGGAAATCCGGGTGAGACGATGCGGGTGAATTATGGACCCCAGAGTCACCTTCGCGCAGGCTCAGGTAATTCTAAGCCTTAGCCCAGCCTTAGCCTGTCTCTGTCGCTGTTCCCACCACGAGATGTGTTCGGTACAAAGGCGAGGAGGACTGCTAGCTGCTGCGCTTACACTGGCAACGCAACTGGCCTACTCCTCCGCAAACTCCATCTCTCTGCGGGTGCTTTCGGCCAGAGTTGGCATACGGCGAATGCCAAGCCAGGCCAGCCTCCCAGTTCACTCTCGTCGGAATGTCCTGTGCTCTCTGAACTTGACCCCGACCGTCGCCCGGTATGCTTTCGTTGCCTCGACCTCCAGGGCTCCCTCCCAGCCAAAAGTAATAACCATACCCGAGGAACCCCACATGCTGGCCCAAATCGGATACTACCCCATGCAGCTCGGACAAATGTTGCAGAGCGGAAAGTATGAGATCGTTCGCAAACTCGGCTTTGGTCCTCACTCGAGCGTATGGCTCACCAAGATGCCCCTGTATGTCTTGCATGTGTATACTGTCACCCATTGTTTCCACTCATCCGTCCTCAGAGAGCATGGGCACACCTACGTCGTCGTCAAGATCCTTTCCACCGGCGGTACCCGGGACGGGCACAAGCGCTCGGCGTTTGAGCTTCAATTAGCCAGACGTACGATGCGGCTGTCCCAGTCTGAAATGCAGCACCCAGGCTACAAACATTGCGCCATAGCCCAGGATGTCTTCCAGACAAACAGCGCTTATGGTACACACGATTGTGTAGTATACATCCCGTACGGCCAAAACCTGCGACTTTTCAGATCATCCGTCCCCGGGAATTTCTACCCCTTTTCCGCGGCGAAACGCTTGATCAGGCAGGTCCTCCTGGCCCTCGACTACATGCACAACGTGCTGGGTGTGGTGCATGGCGGTCGGTTCTCATCCCTGTCCTGACTCCCTCACAACTCACCCACACCTGGTAGACGTCCGGTGGGACAACGTACTCACCAAGGTTGATGCCCGCGTGGACGACGTTGACCGCCTCCTATGCTTACGACCTTCTGAGACGTATCCGCCGTTCTACAACAAGATGCTGTCCCCCGATCCGATAGTGACCATCCGAAGCCAGCCTTTGCCTGCACCACAACTAGACCCCCACCATCTTGACGGCCTAGAGGTCTGCTTAACGGACTATACCGGGTGTGAGCCCCATCACCTTGCTCTACTAGTAGTTGGCCGCGAGTTGATGACGGACCGTTCTCCAGCTTGCCCTGTCAATGAGACCGGTTCAGCGTCCATTCATACGCGTGAGGATCTCAAGGCACCGGAAATGCTCCTTGGCCATCCGTGGGGCCCTGCCGCGGATATCTGGGCGTTAGGCTGTCTTGTGAGTGTCATTCACTATCTGCGAGTCCCAGGCGCGCCCATTGACATACGCATCTTCACTGGTTTCCGAACTGTTCTCCGAGGAAAAGCTGTTCAGGGCGGCGAGGCTTGGGAAGAAAGGCCATCTCGCGAACATTGTCTTCATCTTGGGCGATTTCCCGCCGGATTTCCTGGGCCGCTGCACGGATGACGCGAAGAGGGCCTTTGATGCGGACGGTGAGTGACTTTGCTCCACGACGTGGAGATTGACACGCGCGTGCGTCGCGTAGGTTCATTCAGGGGCCTGACCTCTCACGGGGATATTTCACCCGAGCATTGGATGGTGAACGCGGCCAAGATGAACGAGAGCAAGATACCGAGCGAGCACGCGTTCTATGATACCGCTAGGTTCATCCGCAGATGTTTGACGATCGATCCGGAGGAGAGGCCTTCAGCAGCAGAGCTCTTAGAGGACCGATGGCTAGCGTCTTGAGAGTGGTGCATGTGGCATGCACGTATGACAATCCACGGCCATGGCATGTAATGCCGTTCTGGTGTTTGAGTATCTCCATCATAGAGGTTGCGCGCGTCTGCAAGGTTTCGTAGACAGCATCCGAATCATCCGCGTTGGCTCCTTTTGATGAACGCTAGAAATAAGACCATTGGAAGGCGACAAGCTCAGCCTACGGACCCCCCGCTAGCCAATGCTACTCCCGACCCTAGAGCTGCGACAACCTTGCGCTCCACATGGCTCGCGAAGCTTTCAAACAGACCTCGCTCACGGCCACGGAGCCAGTCAAACACGAGCTCTACCCCACCGTCTACTCCATCGCCCTTGGATTTCTCACCGTCGGCGGGACGCATACGGCAGCGGATCCGGCAAACGAGCTTTGGAAAGCTGGAGGGAGAGGGCTCGACGTCCATCGCACTTCGCTTCTTGCGTCGTGCGGCGCGGGACCAGGTATCGCCTGCAGTTGTGGAGGCGATCACGTCTAGCGGCGATGAGGAGGGTACGTCGGAGGTTTCGGTCGAGCTTGGGGCGGTGGCCGAGGGTGTATGGGCTGGCGTTGGAACGACGCGGAGTCCTTCGATCGTAGCTAGAACGGTCCGGGCGATAGTGGAGGCGTGCTTGAGGGAGGGCACTGAGAGCGGTTGGTGGAGCGTGTTGCGAGCAGGCATGAGAGCATGCGTGCTGTGGTGTGAGATTCTGGCTAGCGACTGTGGAGGGATCGGTTCGGAGCAATGAAGAGAATGGAAGTTCTACGGATACATACGTCAGGCAGACAGAGGTCGGCGAAAGACCATGCGATGACCCATCGTCGCGTTTGGCCTTGCACGAGCTCGGCGATGGCGTAGTTGTCGACCTGATGGTGTGTGTGTCATTGCGACTGCTACGTAGCAGCGGCTGCAGACACGCTACGGTACCCACTCACCTTATTGTCGCGGAGCGCTTGGACGATATGTGTGAGGCTAGACAGCTTTCCGAGCATGGATGTGAACCATCTAGCCAGAGCTGTGGTTCGACGCAATCCTGATCCCCAAGAAGGAGCACGCACCGACATCGTTCGTGCACAAGTGGATCCAGGCTCTCGTCGACCATGCACTTGACGAACGAGGCCTCACCCCCAAGTGTGATCATTTCGACGTCTGCTCCCGTACACACCTGCGATGGATGATAATGAGTTCAGAAGGGTCATCGCAGGGATGTTTGACCTACTGCGTTCGGTCCAAGCTCTTTGGCTTCCGCGGACTGTTGGACTTCCTCGCGGCTGGTGTAGAACGGCGGGTTGCACATCGTAAAGTCGTAAACCGTGCCGTCTCTACGTTAAAATCAGGGGCCACACGCATGAGGCAATTCGTGCGAGAAAGAGTCTTACTGTTCGAGGAGCGGCGCGAAGATGGGGCCGGCGGGGTCCGCTGCGCGTATGGAGATGCGATCTTCGAGACCGTTTGTCTGCAAATTCGAGCGCGCAGATTGTAGAGAGAGCAGATCAATTTCTAAGCCAAGAGTGGTTGAGTAGAGGGTAGTTGTAGGGTAAGAGAGCGCATCCACCTGTCCCGACGAAGGACCAGTTCTGACGGGATTGACACCCTAGGAGAGGGTATATAGCTGATGCGCCCGTCCCGCTGTAGACGATGTTAGCACACGGCTGAGTTGATTCCCGGAACACGGACATGTCTAAGCCACGCACGGGTCGACTTGGCTCTTGTCCCAAGGCGAGAGAGACGGTGTCGACGACATCCTGCAGCCAGAGGATATAATTGAGTCTGCGCGAGGTCAGCATACGGCGACGAGTTACAGTACGGCGGGTGCACCTGTTGGGGATCTGAGACGGTGAGCGGTCCAACCAGCGAGGAACCCGTGAGTCTAGAGCTACTCACTGGCGGACAGAGCCTGGCGGGAGGAAGGGATATGCGGACCGAGAAGTCGCGCCAGAGGATGGCTTCGGTGAGGGCCCTGTACGGTGGAAATTCAGTGAGGGAGGTGATATAAAACTGCGAGGAAATATATGTACCTCTGTGCTGTCTCGCTCTTGAAGTCGATCGTGGCTCCTGTGCAAGTCCGGATGATGCTGGAATGGATCATTAGTTCATCGTGGACGGTCAGAGGATTCGAGTGCGCACTGGGGCTGGAGCGGCGGATAGGCGGAGGCGAGAGCTGCAAAGTCTGGCGGGCTCTGGTATGGATTGCGAGGATGCATGTCCTCGCAGTCGGCAACAAAAACGAGTTCTCAAGGAGATGGTGCCAGTGTGTTTAGCAGCCGGGTGTGTCAAAAAGGGCCCAACCGGGATTCGAACCCGGGATCCCTTGCAATTGAGGCTGTGCTCCCAAAGCAAGTATCTTACCTCTAGACCATTGGGCCGTTGATAACAAGTTTGTGTGTAGCTATACGTCGTGTCACAACTGCTGCCTGCATCGACGTCATACAGTGTCACTCCTCCGCCGAGTGTTTGGCCTCTGCCATCGACCACACCGTCCCAGACGACGACTGCAACGACACACACGCTGACCACGCCTTTTATGACTATGCCCACCGACGCGCTGAGGAGGTTGCATTCCGTGCCCGATGAGTGTTCCCGGCCGCCAAGTGTGGGCTGACCTCTGTTCGGGCCGATGCAGGACGGCAGCATATGCTGCTGCATCTGCATCTGCTGTTGAGCGGATGATAGAGCCTCTTCACTGTACGTGTTCTGGGATATATCTGCCCATCTCCTGTTCACCCTCACCAAGTTTCCTGTAATCCGGCGCAGCCCGGGTACGACACACGCCCATCCCTACCCTGCTTGGCATACCGTTTACCCACCTGGGGATATAACCCGGACATTCGAGATCTGCTGCCTCGTTACGCTTCCTTGTACTGTATCCATAGACTTCGGACTCGGACGATTGATTGTACATGAATGTAATGCGGACCGAACGTGTTTGATCACATCCTGCCCTCGCGCAGCCGCCTCTCAACTTGTCCGCAACCGCCACAACGGCCGTGGTCCATGTCCCGCTCACCCTCTCGCTGCTGCCTGCACACGCTGCTCTTGCTCTGATCTTCTCTTTCGTGAGCCGACGAGTGCCAGACCAGACCGAGATGGACAAGTTCGCGACGCTCGAGCCCGTCCGGCTCTACCACTCGCCTGCGCCCGTTCCGTCCGCAGCCTCAAAGCGGTTCTCGCTGCACAAGTCCTCTGCGCCCGCCCCTGCCCGCACACACGCACCCGCGCCGTTCCAGGTCATCGGCCGCCTCCCAGTAGATGTGCACATCCTCATCCTCACCCATCTCGCTGTGCCCGACATCCCCGCCTACGCCCGTTGCTCCCGCGCGCTCGGCAACCTCGCCAGAGATGAACGCGTCTGGGAAGCCCGATGGAAGGCGTTTGGGGTCGAAAAGGCTCGCCTGGGCGACGTCCTCGATGCGCTCGACGACAAGCTCAAGGTGCAGAACGGCCTCGATCGCACCCATGCACCACCCACGCTCGCCGCAGAGAGCGTCGACGATGACTTTGGCGACTTTGCCGCCGCGGGTGCCAACGCGGACGAGATGGGCGACTTTGTGGGAGGCGGCTTTGGGTTCAGCACGCCCCGTACCCCCGCATTTTCGTTCAACGGCGGGACCGGGTTCGGCCTGGCGGGGTCGGGCAAGACGTTTCGCTCGCAGTACATTCGCGCGCACACCCTCCTCAAGCCGCTCCTCGCCGCGCTCGACGCCCCGCCCCACGCTGTGCTCTCGAGCCTGTTTCCTTCCCCCGCGCCCCCGCTCCGCAGCCAGGCGCACACGTTGCGCTTGCTTTCGCGCTTCCTGTCCCCTGCCGTCAAGCCGCTCCGGAAGTGGGAGACGCTGAGCGCGGCGTTGAGGGCTGCCATTGATCGCTTTGAGGATGGGCTATTGACCGCGTTCGATGTCGCGGACGGCAAGGGCGACGAAGCGGGCATGCGCGAGGCCGCCGAGGCAAGCTGGGAGGTGTGGGACGGACCCGGTGCAGAGTGGGAGCTCGGGAAGGTGTGGGCCGAGAAGCGGGAGATCTTCTACGAGCAGAGCAAGTGGAAGCCGCTCGATAACTTCACGTATGTGTCTTGCGCTGTGCTGTGCGCGTGGTCTCACACGTTTGCTGCAGGGCCGATGCGGAGCTCGACTTCACGGCGATGGACGAATTTATAGCCGACATCCTGGCCGCGCTCGAGGAGCACGGCTCGCGCGCGGTTCGTGTCTTTCCCCCGGACGCGAACGTCCTCATCTCGTTCTCAGACCGACTCGCGAACGAAGTAGTGAGTCTTGAGGGCTGCGCGTGTTGTCGATGCGTACTAATATGACGCGCAGGTGGGTGAGTACATAACCTCGCTACTGACCCGCGCTCGGGAGATCTCCAATGAGGTCTTCCTGAAGGCCACTGCGGCAAGCTTCAAGGAGGCGTTGAGAATGGTCGACGTGATCGTCAAGGTCGCGTCCGCCAAAGACCCACAGTTCCCGAAGACGATGGCCGAGGATGTTGTGTAGGTTCTCACTCTGCTCTTGCGCTGTATCCTTGTTGAGCTTCAGTCAGGTACCGCATGTTCGAGCCCAATATGGACGAATACCTCGACGAAGAGGTCGAGTTCGTCAAGCAGAGTTTCGAAATGACCTGCCGCGCGTGGGAGAAGACGGTATGCTCTGATACCCTGGATCCTCGGATATAGTCGCAACATCTACTGAGATCCTGGGACTAGCTTTCGGAGCATCGCGTAGAAACAAACGCGTCACCGAACACGGAGACGGCGCGCTTCCTGGGGTCACATAACCCAGCGCAAGTGAAGCGCACGGTGCTCGCTTCCTTCACGGACGTTCTCCTCTTGCCCGTAACCATTGTTCCTCGTACGGTAGGCAAGGCTGTCGGCGCGGCGATCACTACCGGAAGCAGCGCCGCTGTGCAGGGTATCCAGATGCTCAACCCGCAGCGCTGGGGCGCCACGGGTGGTGGCAGTAGTGGCGGCGGCGGGTCCAGCGGCCAGGGGGCGTTCCCGTTCTCGCGCATGTCATCATGGAACTCGAGTGGGAAGGACGGGTATGTACGGGACTTTGAGAAGGGCGGGGATGGGATGCTGTTCGATATCGGCGCGGATGAGGAAGAGGAAGAAGATGAGAAAGGCACTGTATCTGAAAAGGTCAGCGAAAAGAGGGAGAGTACGGCGACAGCACGATGTGAGTACGGCAGACCCGGATTAGGCGCACTATCTGGACTGACGGATGTGTTCCGGCAGCATCGCTGACCGTCTCGACCTCGGCGGAGTCGATGAGCACCTCTGCGACCTCGGCTGACTCTGGCTCCGCGAGGAACTCGACGTTGAACGCGAATCCGCCGGTGTTGGACAATCTCGACCTCCTGCTGTCCCTCGACACTGCGCTAGAGCTCATCCATGCCGACCGCGAGTCGATGAAACGCGCAGAGACGTTCTCGGGCTATCCTGGCACGTACGGCCATCGGGTACGGGACACGATCGAGGAGATCTTTGTGCTTCTATTGCAGGCGTTGGGCGAGCGGCATATCAAGCCTGGATTTGATACGTGCGTCATGTCGTGGGGTTTCATTCGTCTGCATACTGATGCCCGAGCGTGCAGGGCCATTCAGCAGATGAAGTCGTACAAGCCGGCAGAGCACGAGGAGACGAAGAGCGTTGCGCCACTATTGCAGTTTTTCGAACTGGTGCACATTGGCGATACGATGCAGTCGATGATTCAGGTCTACTTTGACAAGGAGCTCGTACGTGGTAGCTGTAGTTCGCGGTACGTCTTCATACTGACCGTGCGTAATGTACAGGCGCCTCATATAGACCGACACGATTTCTTGAACACGGTTGTACGGGAGAAGAAGCACTTTGAGGATGTTCTGGATGATTGTGTTGCTGGTGGGCTGAATGCGGCCACAGACGCGCTGATGAACCAGGTGCGCATGTCGACTGGTGAGCGTTGACAAGTATTGATGTCTGCCACGCAGGTCGAACACATCATTCTTAAGCTCACAAAGCCACGAGAATACTACCCGCCGGAAGACAGCCCGCTGGAGCTGGGACCTACCGAGGGCTGTCGAGAGGCGATCAAGTGCCTGCAAATGCACTGCCAGTTATTGAAGGGCAGCACGAGCAAGGAGGTGCTCGAGGTGTTCTACCAGGAAGTAGGGATTCGCCTGATTGCGTACGTGTCTGATCGCTCTACACGGACTAAGTGGACGCTGAATGGATGTGCAGGATATTGCAGAAGCACTTGAAGCGGCAGATCATCTCGCTCAACGGTGGTTTCCAGGTGATTGCGGACCTGAACGCGTACCACTCTTTCATCGCGTCCCTGCGGGTGGCGAGCATCACGTCCGAGTTTGCGTACCTGAAGATGCTCGGCCACGTCTACGTCGTCGAGGACGCGAAGGATCTTGCGCAAATCGTGCGGGACGTGACGCGATACGGGGGCGCGTATCGCCCTGAGGTGCGTTGCCGAGGCTGGCTGAGTGCTCGGCGGTCGCGCTTACGGGAACACACAGGACATCTACGAGTTCATCCAGCGGCGGTCTGACTGGAAGAAGATCGAGAAGACGGTGGACAAGACGATGTACAACCTCAGCTTCAAGGAGGACTGCCTCGTCTGCTAGCCCGGCCCGGCCGGATCGGCGTGCAGCGTGACGTCACGCGGCTCCGGCGCAGCGAACGATGAGCGCTACTGTACGAGCCCTGCGCATCGCCCTGCGCCTCCTTCTCTCCCGTCCTCATCCTCTTGACTATCAACCACCACCACCACCACCACCACCACCACCACCACCATGTCGATCCCCGAGTTCTCTCTTCGCCTCCAGCGTGGTATGTCCCCCTCTGTCGCAGATCACGCATGCACAACTGAGTTCATCGTGCCCGACAGGCATCACTGGCGGCTTTGCACCCCCGACACCCGAGGCGATTGTGACGATCACGAGCATCCCCACCCAGAATCTGCTCAACATCACCAGCGCGGTCCGCCCCAAGGGCACCCCCACGCTCCAGGACGCGGCACCCAAGTCCGTGCCCGCGTCCGATCCAGATACCACGGCGCTCGTCAGCGAGCTCAAGTCCATCCTCAGCTCCATCCCGACCGAGTCCCCGCCCGGGAGCGAGGACATCTACGGGCTTGACACGAGCATCGCCTTTGGCTCAGACGACTTTTTCTGGCAGAACGGCGGCCCGCAGGGATGTGGCGGGGGCGAGAGCTCGGTCAAGCCGACCGAGGAGGAGAGGGCAAAGTTCAAACGCGCGGTCGAGATCGTAGAGAAACTCACAGAGAAGGAGGCGTGATGACGAGCAATCGGGCATTGGATGGACAGGAATCGGTATCATAGACCACGGTTGTATACCACATGTTTGTACAATCTACGCTGA